TGGTTGTTTGATTTGTATCCAGCCTACCCTGTCCCCTTTCCTCATAGCTTATCTAAATTATGCATTAGAATTTAGATGCTTATCCAGTGGCATGCAATGTAGACACTTTACGTTTTACAGTCCCACCATTTTGCATAAGCACGCAAGTAATTATATATGTCATTGGCATGCCTAAAGATTCCAAAGAGGCTGAGTCTGATCTCACGTGAAGCATTGAGAAAAATGGGATGGGATGGGATAATGGCAATTGACTTCATACTCGTTGGAACCAAACTTATTTGTGCTTGTGGTTTTGCAGTTATGCCAGTCAACAACGTGTGAGGCTTATGGAGAGGCATTGTCTGTAGGTCTGTCTTCATCTGTAGGATTAAAAAGCCTTTTGGGATTCCTTCTACTAAATATCCCTCATAGCGAGTACTGTGCTTGATCATGATTGAGGATAATAGACGAAAGATGACACAAGGACAGGTTTGTTTCTTTAAATCTATCACCTCAAGTCTTTTTCAGATTTTGTCTTGCCTGTCACATTTTTGTATCTGTGGGATCCTTGTTTTTGTTTGGCATATTTGCTTAAACATTATGTTACCTCGGTTCGATCTCCACAGTTACCTTTGTTAGAGTTTAAATATCTTTATTTTTGACGTGTCCCGAATTTCGAATTAGTTTCATACTAGTTCAAAAAGTCGAAACTGGTGTGATACCGAAAAGTCATCTCGTCGTCTCAAATAGATAATTAGTGTTCGGTTAACTCCAAAAAATAAAATAAAAAAATATTACCATTTACTCCCCCGGAAAGAGCAGACCAACAATCAAACGAATGAAGTTATCTCTTCCCATACCAATGCAGATTGGTTTCTCTTTCATCACACTTGCGCGTTCAGTAGCGAGTAGGGGAGGGGACCAGATGATAGGGTACCATTCCCTTTCATTCAAATCCAATTTCAACTTGCACATATCCAAACTCTAAAAACATTTTTGCCCACCCAGACAACCAACCCAATTTATTGTATCCGTTCGGTTCTATGGTTATTTCCAGTTTCAGCACATTCTCTTTTTTTTTTTACAAAAATAAAAATAAAATCTATTTCAATATTCCAGTGGCTACGGGATGGGTCATTTATTATGTACGAACTGAGTCTAAAATCTGAATTGATAAAAAAGGAAGAAAAAAAAAATCTAACAAGAGTTCGTCTAACCAATCGTTCTTTGTTATAATAAATATATGATCTGATTCAAATCAGGATTTCTTGCTGGTGAATTATCAACAGTCTTACGTAAATGTTCAACGGCATTTTGATACCGGTTCAACATAAATAGACTTGACATCACATTATAAGCAAATTTTTAAGATATTATATTTATAATTTTTTTACTTATATAATTTATACATTTTCCATTACTTTTTAATATAAAACTTTTAAATTTACACTCCACTCACATTCTAAATCTCAGTGCATCTAATCATCTACAGTCTTTTGCAAAAAGAAATAGATCAGTTAGTAAAAAACAAAAATCAAAGTGATATAAATTAAAAGAGCCCGGCCCGAGTCAAATACCCAATAAAAAAGGGTAGGGAGCACCCAATTTTGTTGAGCCCACTAAATAAGACCCGGCCCAAAATACCCCTGTTCAGTATGACCGGAACTACACAACGCCTAACTACGCAGCTTTATAACTTTATTTCATATATAAAATATCAATATCCTCCGATCATTAATAATCTATCATCAATCAGATGTACAATTTTTTTTTAATTCTTGCGTGGTCTTGAATGAGACATAAGACTTCAAAATCCGAATATATAATTCATTTATGTTTATGGGAGAATAGCTTAATTTATATCCAAGCGGCATATAAATTGTTTAATATGAAGTGACATAATCGAACTAATATATAAAATAATTAAATAATATTGCTCTAGAAGGAAGACACGGACGTGTATGTGTATATATTTAAATGATTACCAGATTAGCAAGGAGATCACATAATCTTTGTGGGACTACGTGGTTTCCTATATTAATTTGCAAGTGTCAAAATAATCTCACATGGACCCATGATCTGCCTCCAAATAATATGCACCAAACTTAATTAACTAATTTATAAATTCTACCTTTGTTGGCACTCGGAGAGCTGGATCCCTTTTTTTAGAAAAAATAAAATAAAAAATGTATGATTAGATAATGTCTAAGCTAACATACTTGTATATATTAATTAATATATTTCTCCAATCTGATCGAAGAAAAACTTAGGATGCAAGATTTTTTTTAAAAATCTCATCTTGTATTCAAATAAAGTGAATAAAACAATGCCATTTTTTAATTGGAAATCGACCACACACAAATCAAAAACGAAAAAGAAAAGAGAGAGAATAGACACAACGATTTAATCTGATTCATCCAATTTAGGCTACGTCCAGCTTGTTTGTACTATATTCATCTCTACTCGTTACAAGTCACTCGATTTACAAGACAAATATAAATAGGATTAAAAACCCTAACAACAACTATTCATGGGCTCAAGTCCAAACTGCTAAGAAAATTACAATAAAACAGAGGCCCCACAACAGTATCTTTCTGCTAACCTCGACAATTAGGATCATCATCAACATGCGAAGTATGAGCCATACCCAACAAATAAAGTATATTATTTTGAATGCCGCTTTTTGAATGTTCATTTGAGGATTTAATATCTTCAAAAAGCGAGAAACATGTATATGAGTTAGTTACAATACACATGAATGTTGCATTAGCTTAACTCACTCAATTAAAAAACTTAACATTCCTTAATGAAATTTTTATTTTTATTTTTGTTTTTCTTATTTTTCTTTGATCCTTTTAGTGGTAGAGCTAGCATTCTCATTGACAAAGTCTATATATATATATATATATATATATATATATATATATATATGAGATAAATATTTCTACAGTCACTCTAGATAAGGTTATCTACAGCTATCCAAAAAATTACGTTGTTTTAATTAATGAAAGGTGTTTCTGTAATTTTAGGTGAATTAATGAATGGTGTTTTCGTAGTTTTGTTTATTTTTTTATTATAAACATTTTACTGAAACACTCTTCATTAATTCACTTAAAATTACAAAAGCACCCTTCATTAATCAAAACAATGTAATTTTTGGGGTAGCTATAAATAACCTCTTCTAAAGTGACTATAGAAATGTTTATCCCATATATATATATATATATATATATATATATATATATATAGGGCTTAACATTTCTGCAGCAGCCGTAGATAGTGTTATCTACAGCTGACACAGAAAAGTGGGCCCCACGACTTTAAAAAAAAAAACTCAGGATCCGATGCCGCATCCTAAGATCCGGACGCAGATCCTTGCTTGCTGTAGGTACAGCAGCTGCAGAAATCATTTTGCCATATATATATCTAGAGCAAGTGATATATGTGATCGAGAGCTTACGATACATAATATGATTCACAAGTCCAACTATTATGGACCTACATAAGAGTCATATGCCCAAAAAACCCTTTAATATCAGAGCAAGTGATATATGTGATCGAGAGCTTACGATACATGATATGATTCACAAGTCCAACTGTTATGGACTTACATAAGACCTATATGCCCAAAAAACCCAATAAAGGGCAGACACTCGACAACTATGCAAGAAGACAACCGGACCCATGAAGCAAAAGGTCCAGATTGTTCAAACCCTAAAGTAAACTCTATAAATAAAAAGTAAAGATCACATGTATGGACAAATCTTTTTTTTTTTTACTATTATGCTATCACTGTGCACACACACCACTCCTTTGGTTAAAGCCTCATAGTTGTGTACGGTGATTCGCTACTCCCGAGGTATCTAATTCATAGATATCTAGAGAGAGCACAAAATCTCATATTGATCAACTAGCCCCAGGCTAGACATCTCTGTCACATAGACAGAACACCAATGATACGTATCATGAGGTGTATTAGAAATGAATTTGTATTGAACGATCCGATATTGTATCTTATGATACGATACAAAAATTAAATTAAATTATTTAATTTTTAATATAAAAAATAAAGATTTGATTTACAATTTAAATTTAAAAAAAAAAACTAAAAAGATTCTTTTTGAAAGAGGATGGTGAATTAGTTATATCACTGATAGATGCTGATAGTGATAACAGTGATAATATTAGTCTTAATGATTGATGAGTAGGAGAATAAATGGTTTGCACTTTAATTATTTATGTATTTATCTTATTAGATCCTTTTTGGAATTTGGATTTATATGATATTATTATATTATATATTTTTTAATTTTTTTTTATTATATTCTGTATTTTACCATTCGATATGATTCATGATATACTATACAAAAAATTTGTCAACTAATATATGATATCTATTACGATTTAATAACCTTTTATGAAGAGTTCTTTGAGTCATACACAGGAGAAAAAAATGATACATACGCAACCAAATAGCATACAATATATTTGGGGGAAGGGGTGGGGGGGACAACAACTTGCCATTGGATCTTTAGCATAATCATAAGAAATTTATTCAGAAGTAACAGAACACAAAACGACAAAAGGAACAATTTGAAAGAAGTGCCTGCTGCTATAGTTTCTATCAAACTAGAACCTTTTTCACAACAGGGAAGAGGGAAGAAAGTGGTCCATTCGATTAGTCAAAACCTCTCAAAAACCCTCTTGAGGGAAAAAGAAAATTTAAAACGGCAGAGATTTGAAAATGCTTATTCTGGTGGGGTATGCCAACGTAGCCGATCAGTCAACTACGCAAAAAAAACAACAGAAGAAAAAACTTTGTCATCATCTGTTGAAACTCGGCACACAGCAGCAGAACAAACCCAAGTAAACACCGATAAATGCTTAACAGATACTCGCAGGCCCTTCATATATTACTCCAGAATCCAGATAATGGACTAAAAAGGAAAAAGAAAGCACTGCGATCAAAATATGATTGACTAAAACTCATGACGTAGATTCCTTGAACTGGTTATGCACGATTAGATAAACTGCCTTAGGCTTCCAATTAGATCCTTTGCTGTAATGCAGTTTTCCTTGTTCATCTGCAAGATAACATAAATCATATGATAACGGCCTTGGTCTAGCTATGTGAAATCAAGTGGAGAAAAGAAATAGGTATATCATATGAGTTTACAATTTCTCAGATAATTTTATCTCTTGTACGTATATAAAAATATGTAGTGTTTAATTTTTCTATTTTTCTCTATTCTCCTAACACGAGCTTTATATACTTTTACTTATATGATAAATTTATTTTCTATAACATTGAAAAATTTTAAACTCATATTATATATATATATATATATATAATATTTTAAGAAACGCTAATGATAATGAGTACTACTCTTTCAAAACAGGACTGCGTATATTTAGTTATTTACCTGAGCAACAATAGTTACAGCAATAGTGTTATTCCCGAAGGGAAAAAAGCTGCAACTCTGGACAATGAGATGATTCTTTTCTAATTCGCTGAGAATGGTAGCGGCACGCCAACTCTGTTTGTCGCAGTGAATTCTGATGAGTGCGTCTTTACCAGAAACTATTACTTCCATGTCAGGGTGTGGCTGCTCGCAGTGGCTCTCAGAATTTTCATCGTTGGCGAAGAGAATAGATCTCTTTACCGATCCAACTTTTTTCTTTGACTGCTCCTCCAGAGTCTGCACGCGCTCTTTTAGTTGTTTCACATACTTGATAGCATCTTCCAACACAGAAGCCTTGTCCATCTACGCGTGCAACCATATACATTAATTCAACTTTTAATTAAGATTATTCCAATACATACAATTATATATATTGGCGGTTAACTCTGCAATTGTGTTTTAAGTAGAAGACTATTTATGTGTTCGTCTTCATAAATCTTAAATCATAAATCATATCAATGTTATCCGATGAAGGTGCATCATGAATGAAATTAAAAGAACAATTGTTAAGCTGAAGGTACCTTTTTGAGTCCAGGAACGATGGCTGATAGAGCGATGAAACTCTGGCTGAGCTTTTCCCTTCTTTTTCTTTCGGCTATTACGTGTTCTTGAGCTTGGGTTGGGTTCCTAGCGGTCGTGGCCAGCTGGTTCGCTCGGTTATCATTATTTAAGCAAATTTTCAAATCGGAATCCAGGTTGTGAAATTGGTGGGAAGCAATAGAAGGTGCATTGAAATGCTCAAAAGAAATAAGTTGGGAGGATGAAGAGGAAGAGGAAGAAGCCTTTGGGGCCATAAAGTCACTGAATGTCTTTAGCTTCTTCTTTGGTCTTGTTGGGTTAACGGATTGATTAGGACTTTCAGCAGGGAAACAATTTGGTGTGCTTTCGGAGTTGAAATACTGATAAGAGGAATTGCTCTCTGGGGACCCGCAGAAAGATTGGAAGTCAAAGTCATCAAGTGAGCATGCAAAAGAATCCATCGGATATTGATGAAAGAAGGTGTGATCCTCCATTCCCTGTTCAAGTAAGAGTAAGATTTCTGCTTATATGTTCAGTAATTAGTTTTCTTAAAAGCTTGTGATGAGTTCTCAGTATGCTTACAAGTTCAGGCAAGTAGTTGGTGGACGCAATTTCCATCATCTTCAGTTTCCTTCCTTATATTTAAATATGATGCGTTATGGGGCACTGCAAAAGGAGTCAAACAATACAGCAATCAAAATCTTAGAATCGAAGAGACTAAAAATTCTTAATTAATACAGGGAATGTTGTTTGTTATTTCCTCCAGAAAATTTCTGAATTGTTCAAAAGAACAGGTGAAGTGTTCATGCTGAAAAGAAAAACTAATCAGAAAACTATGTGAAATTACTTACAATTGGAACCTATGTTTGCTAAGTGTGGTTTGAAGAAGGAAAGAAAACACAAACACCGGGAAGGAAACGAGATTGAGAAAATAGCCTACCTTGATTGAAGAAAATTAGAAGACCGACAGGAAGAGATTAATTTTCGAAAGTTGCCAGATGAAAAGAACAACATTGCCATTATATATAGGGGCACCGTACACGCTTCATACCCGGGTCTATAAAACACGTGTGAAAATGTATCCCATTTTCTTTAAACGTTAGTATGAACCTTTGGAATGCGGCCCATACCTGTCTTCACTCATAAGGTTTGGTCAAACTCTGGGTTCTTGGGTGTTTTGACCAAGACGGATCACATGTTCTTTGCTTTCTTGCTCTCTTTCTTTGTTTGGATCATTTCTAGCATGTCATTTTGAAAATTTAAGGTGTCAATTTTTCTGAACCGGTGAGTTGAGATCTACTGTAAGAGATCAGGTTATCTCAATGTTATGATTGTCAGGCCAATAAATAGAACGCAAACCAAGAGCAAACTTTTGATACATTAATGTAATGAACTCGAAACATCCATTTACTAAAACGGATAATTTATTTTATTTTAATTTCTTTTTATATATATATTTTTATCTATATCCATTTAAATTTTTCTCATTTAATAATTGGATGTATCGAATTCGGTATATCCATAATATTAAAAGTATTTTTCGCAAACAAATAATTCAAAACAACAAAAATAAATGATAGAATGAAACTGTCAGTTGAGTCAATTTATAACTCGTCTCTATTTTCTCGGGAAAAACACTATTTTAAAATTCTTGAGCAAAAGAATTGTCTAGTTAAAGTTAATTGGATAAGTTTTTAAAAGTAATGCAGTCAAATATATCACATATGCTGACGGGACTAGTCTCTTCACTGATACGACGGGACTCGTGTCACGTCAGCGCCACGTAGGCAGTTTTGTTACCATAAAACTTCAGAAGACCATAACTTGTGACTTGAGTATCCAAATCAGATGATTTTTTTTATTTCACATAAATTTTCGAGATTTACGCAATGACATCTCATTTGACATATTTTATCTCTCACAAACATAATTTGAATTGGTAACAATTGTACCACAATTACGCGTTTAAATCTAGAAGATCTTCAAACTATGTTTGTGGGAGATAAAATATGTCAAATTAGATGTCATTGCGTAGATCTCGAAAATTTATGTGAAATCAAAAAAAAATATCTGATTTGGATACCCGAGTCACAAGTTATGACCTTCCGAAATTTTATGATAATGAGACTGCCTACGTGGCGCTGACGTGACACGAGTCCCGTCAGTGTCAGTGACGGGATTAGTCCCGTCAGCATATGTGTCATGTTTGACTGCATTATTTTAGAAAAACTTATCCAATCAGCTTTAACTAGCAATTCTTTTACTCAAAAATTTTAAAATGGTGCTTTAGTCCTATTTTCTCCTTTTCTTATCTCCTTTTACAGACATATCTTATGGTGAGTCCTGCAACCTAAAAAAAAGAGAAAAAAGTTCACCAATGTTCTTCTTGTTTTAGAATTATCTATGTTCTTGTGATTTTTTTTTATCACATATGTCTCTGTGGTTTGTAAAAAAGTATGTTTTTTTATCACATACGCCCCTATGATTTTTTATTTTTTACAAAGTACAAGGATATATATGATAAAAAAGTCACAGAAACATAAATAATTCTAAAACAAAGAATAAAAATATTAGTGAAGTTTTCCCTAAAAAAAATATTACACAAAAAAAGTCATCCATTACTTGTAACTAATTTAATGTCCGTGTGAAGATTTCTGTATTGGCGCAAAGATACAGAGATTAAATTTCACTTTCATAGAAGACTTACTTTCCATTATATGACCCACACTCAAATTAAAAAAAAATCGAAGATAATGTCAACACATGAGATGGAACTATTAAATTTCACTTTCAATGAAGTGATTGAAAGGTAAATTTTTAAAATCAGTTATTATATTTAGATAAAGGATTTAACTTTACTTTTTATGAATGGAATATGTTATATTATTATCAATCCCCATGCTGTCATATCAAATATTAAATTTGATTACATTTTCTAAGTTATTATATTATCGTTTATATCAATAGTACGAGGCCAAACCAAATATTTGGGGAGCTAAATATGATTTGAACAAAAAAATAGATAATTATGCTACAATATTTTTAGAAAGTAGGAGTTAAGAGCCAAGAAGTTATTGTTGAGATATATAGTCCCACATTGATTGGATGGACAACTAATATGGCCTGTATAATGCCTTGAACACTCCCACCCTTTGAGCTAGCTTTTGAGGTGGTGTATCCCAAGGTTCTTTACATGGTATCAGAGCCTCACCGTCCCCGCTTTAAAAAGTGGAATTAAAAAAAAAAAAAAAAGCACAAAAAAGGTAAACCAAAAATGGGCCTGTGCAATTTCCACGCTTCTAGCCTAAAGGGCTCTTGCGTGAGGGGGCGTGTTGAGATATATAGTCCCACATTGATTGGATGGGCAACTAATATGACCTGTATAAAGCCTTGAACACTCTCACCCTTTGAGCTAGCTTTTGGGGTGGTGTATCCCAAGTTCTTTACAGTTATCTCTCCTTTTTCGTGATATAAGAATTAGCATGTATCTAATAAATTGTATGAATATTTTTCAAATTAAAAATAACTTAAAAATATTTACTTATCTTTTAAAAAATATAGTTGAAAAATATACATTAAAATAAGTAAAGTTATAAATAAGATATGTATAATTATTCTTAAAAAAAATTAAAGAATCTTTTTTAATAATAACCTCTGTTATTTATTAAAAAAAGATTCAACATAAATATATGTAAAATCAAATAAAAATTTAAGTCGTTATATACATACTAATATGTAGTGTTATAATTTTAAACCATCAATTCTATGCAGAGGGTAAGGAAGAAGATGTTGATAGCGCTCCTTTTTTTGTTTATTTAACGAGTTAAATATATTTTTTTATGACGTCGGAGATAAAATTATTTTTTATATATAAATAAAAGTGTGAGAAGATGATATTTTTTTCTCTCTCTTCTTTTAATATAGGCTTCACATACTTTTATATATGTATATGAGATAAATTTATCTTCTACAAACATAAAATTATTATTTAATTTCTCTTTCTATCGTTATTTTTAGTTGTTTCCCAACAATCTTGTCCTTTTTTTTAATCTGCATGTCTCATTTTTTATTTTTTTTTAACATTATACTAATTAGTCATTAAATAGTAAATATTATGATTTATGGACTTTCAATGTTACAACTTCTCTTAGTTAGTCACGCTACAAGAAAAAACTTGTGTAGCGATGAAATTTCAATAAAATTTTTATCAAAATTTGTGACTAATTCAATTTTTTCTAGCAAATTTTGTTATAAATCTCGTTTGCAAACGAATCTGCAACGAAAAATAGTTGTGAGGAAGAAATTAGCGACGAAAATTTCATAGCAATTTCATTGCTATACAGGTTTTTCAAATAAAATTAAAATAAACAATGAATAAATAATAAATAAATATCTATTTAGTCTCAAAAGTATAAAAATATTTAATATATCAACGGAATGGATCTTTTCATATGACAGTCATTGAGATTATACCTCAGTTGTTCAAATATAAATTATCATTATTAATTTATATTTCGATAGTTGAATTTTTTTCACATGACTTCATATCACATTAGAAAATATATTTCTTGCCATTAATTTGCCGATGATTTAAAGAAAATTAACATTAGCATGTTATTTCTATCATAAAAGTGATATTGATTTGGTCCTTTAAAATAAGTCTAAAATTAATTTAATTATTTAATTATAAAAGGTGACATTAATTTAGTAATTTTATTAGGATATAATAATAATTTAGTTGTGTAAATTAAGAGGTTCATTAACAATACTTATTCTCACAATTTCTATATAAGAATATGATTTTAATGTTACTTTTTATTATTGCGATTACTTCATTTGTTGCAATTATAGGCTATCGTTAGAAGTATTTAATATAAGAGAAAAATGTGTATTATTTTAAAGGATGTAAAATTGTGTTATTTTAAGTGAGAAAAAGAGATAGATAAAGGAGAAGAGAGAGTGGACAAAAAAATATAAAGCTGTAGATCTCACCTCTTTATGAAAGTAAAATGATATAAATTATGTCATTTAAAAAGACAAATATTTTTCTCTTAACAAATTTAAGTAAATGCAATTTCAATTCTTGAAAAGGAATGGAGTGACGGCACTGGGACATTTTGTTTACATCATCAACTCCAACAAATAACAATAATAAGTAATACGGATATTTGCGGTTTGGATTGCATTAATTTTGGAAGTAAAGATTATTCGATCTAATTCTTTCGGTTTGATCATGTAATCATCCATTCGGTTTGGGGGCTTTTTCAAATATGATCCGATCCAATCTAATTTTTTTCGGTTTGGATTGGATCGGTTTTCGATTATTTGAAAATCCTAAAATTTGTTTCGTAATTGTGCAAAAACATCTTTTGTATATATTGATTTTGTAAAAAAATAAATTGAAATATAAAAGCATCAGTAAATGATAATATAATTTTTTTTGCGCAATAAGATATGAACCTCTACAGAGATGAAATTTTGTTGATGAGATGTGACTAAATTTTTTCTTGGATTTAGTTTATGGTTTAACGGGTCTTAAATTTAGAAATTTTTGGACTATGGTTGAGGAAAGACCCAAGTAGATAGAGAAAAATTAATATATTGGATCGGTTTGGATTGGA